AGATGAGGCTGGGGTACACAGGAAATGCTTGGCTAATTTATAGAGGTTTGGGTAAACTGTTTTATGGGTGGCCCAGTATGTGAGGGCATCATCAGTTCTTTCCAGGGGAGGATCAGCCAGGTATCGGTTCACTTCCACAACTGCATAAGCTGGGGTGCTTTGCATGTGCCTGGCTCTGTGTGCATCCTGATCCAAAGGTCTCCACAGGTCAACACCTGAAAAATATTGAAGATCATCATCACCAGAAATGTATGGAAGCAAAACGGCATCATAATGATTTGAATTTATATCAGCATCTGAATAATATGTTTTGAAATATTATACTTTGAATTCTATATTCTGAGTTAATGCACTCAGAATTTTACACAGTGAAATTACAAGTAGAGATTTTCAAGTTAGAAAAATACATAATTTCGATTTCAAACCACACCAATATTATTAAAATAATTCAAATATAAAAATGTACATGTCTAATTTTCAAAAAGTATATTCAATGCATTTCTTTCAAGAAGCACTATTCAGAACCAGAAAGTTCAGTCAACTCATAATTCAGACTGTGACATTCAGGTGCAGAAATTCAAGTGCAGAAATTCAACACAACGTCCGAGACACTGGGCAGTAGCAATCGAGCGACAATGCCATCGATCGGATCCCTGGCCAATCGGGTAAACACAGGTCAGTCCCTAGAGGTGTAAGTTTCCTGTAGTGCTGTGGCGCGAATGTGGAGTTCAGCATACTTTCAGCCAGAAAAGCCATTCGGGTATCAAAATGTTCAGCTCTTCAAGGGCATTCCTACCTGTATTTATTGCATCTAATCCTTTAGATTATTCAACCAAGAAATTCAGCAATATCTACTCATCCTTCAGCTGTTTCAGCAAATGATTTCAAGCATTTTCAGGGCGATCCTTCAGCATCACAGCATCCACACATATTTTCAACAGGAAATGCATTTCTCTAGTTGTCATTGTCCTTTTGCATGACCCAACTTCTACAGATTTTCAGCTGACAGACATTCTCACATTATCCTGAAGACTTTTTTGATACACTTGGGAATTCATCTTCCCCTCAGTGATTGCAAGCTGACCAGGCCCTAATGCAGCAAAGCAGGCCCAAATCATGATGTTTCCTCCACCGCAATTTAATGTTGGGATGATGTTTTCATGGTGATATGCAGTGCCCTTTTTACCCCAGATGTAGTGCTGCGTGTTCTTTCCAAATAGTTCAATCTTAGTTTCATCAGTCCACAAAACATTTTGCCAGTACCACTGTGGAGTGTCAGTGTGCTCTTCCACAAACTTCAGGCTCTTTTTACCAAGCAGCGGCTTCCTTCGTGGATAGATAGATACAGTATGTGTTATCCAGTTCCAATGATGCCTTCAAATCGTTGGCTGTCACTCAAGGTTGATTCTTTACCTCATTGATGAGTCTTTGTTGTGCTCTTGGGGTCATTTTGACTGGGCACCCACTTCTTGGTAAAGTAGCCACAGTCCCAAAGTGTCTCCATTTGTTGATCGTTTGCCTAACTGCAGACTGGTGAGTTTTTAAAGTCTTTGAAATCACTTTATAACCCTTTCCAGCTTTCCAGCAATGTAAATCAACAATTCTTGATCTTAGATCTTCTGAAAGCTCTTTTTGGTGAGGCATGGCTCACACAAGCATATACTTCTTGTGTGGAGCAAACTCAAAAGGTTTTAGTGGTTTTTATCAGTCAAAGTAGCTCTAGTCCACACTTCCAAACTCATTTTCTTAACAAGACTCCAGGTATGCTAACACCTGACTCCAATTAGCTTTTTTGAGGTCATTAACTCAAGGGTTCACATACTTTTTCCACTACCACTATGAGGTTTTTGTGCTTGTTCTCAATAAAGACATGAAAGATCAGAATTTTTCTGTGTTGTTATATTAGGCACATTATATTCGTCAGTACTCTTGATTTAAAATGTGATCTGATCTTCATCTATGACTAATACAGAAAACCATGAAATTCCAAAATGTTCACACACTGTCTTGCCACTGTATGTGAGTGTAGTTAAGATTGGCCGCATTACTCTTCTCTCTTTTTCACTCTTGTTCCCTATCTTCTTTCACCATCTTGACATTTGTCAGTATAGGTGTAAAGAGTTCTGACCAAACAAGTAAATAGTGCAGCAAAACAAAAAACTTGACTCATTCCCATCTGTCCCTCTTTTCTTTTGTAAGGTATCGGAAAGAACGTCATCTGTGACAGGACTGCCACACCTCTGGATGCCTTCCGAATGATGTCAGCAGCCCAGTACTATCCCAAGTTGCTGAGCATTATGGGAAATGTGCTGCGTTTCTTGCCAGCAGTTGTTCGAATGAAGGAACTCTTGGAGGAAGGGTACATCGGGGAGCTTCTCGTCTGTGAGGCTCAGGTGAGATGAAAACGTTGGATGCTTTATATAAAGGAGATTTTCACTTGCTTTGTTTAAAATAACATCTAATCATGACAACAATGTGGTAATTCAGTTGAGTTAAACCAGGACCTACTAATCTGGCATGGAATCAGTGTCTTGCTCAAAGGCGCTTGGCGGCGTTGGTATTTTATGACATGAGATTTTACCCCAGAAACCTCCCCAACTGTTGCATTTAAAATTTTAATAGAACTGTCTTTCCACAAGTTTCTCCTCTTTGCCCTAAAGGTCCACAGCGGTAGTCTCCTGGGGAAAAAATACAACTGGAGCTGTGATGATCTGATGGGAGGTGGTGGCCTGCACTCAGTGGGTAGTTACATCATCGACCTGCTTACATTTCTGACAGGGTATCGTGCTGCAAAGGTCCACGGCTTCCTTAAGACGTTTGTCAAACAGACAGACCACATCCGGGGCATCCGTCAGATCACCAGTGATGACTTCTGCACATTCCAAATGGTACTGGAGGGTGGTGCCTGCTGCACTGTCACACTCAACTTCAACGTGCCCGGAGAGTTTCATCAGGAGGTGATTGTTGTGGGAACTGATGGACGGTTAACGGTCACAGGGACAGACCTGTATGGACAAAAAAACAGTGGGGTTGGAGGCAGTGGTGGCGGTCCAGAGCTGCTGCTCAAAGACACAACACCGCTTGAGAAAGCTTCCTTACCAGAGAAGGCCTTCAGTGACATTCCGTCCCCATATCTCACTGGGATGATCTGTATGATCCAGGCTGTGCAGCAAGCCTTTCAGGACCAAGATGACCAGCGGACGTGGGATGGGAGGCCTCTGACAATGGCTGCCACCTTTGAAGACTGTCTTTATGCTCTTTGTGTGGTGGACGCCATCAAGAAATCCAACCAGTGTGGAGAATGGAAAAAAATAGTGGTCATGACAGAGGAGCCAGAAGTAAGCCCATCTTACCTGATCAGTGAGGCCATGCGACGCAGTAGGATGTCACTTTACTGCTAGCATCTGACTCGTGCTAACGTCATCAGGGTTGCTGAATGCCTGTGTTACCTTAAAAACTGGAGGTGGCACCAGAAAGTGCTTGGTAATGTTGGAACTTGTTTCATACAGCTACCAGCTTCAGTTTGTATTATTGTAATACTGTCAAATCTTTATTGTTACTGTTACAGACAAAGAGGTTACGACACCATGAATTCTGGGTTTCTGACACCTATCCTCTCCATAGAGGAAAGCCAGTATGTGTAAGAATCAAACTTTTATTTATGAGGACGTATTTTTGTTGTCTTTTTGTTTGGGAGATGCACTTGTAAATCAAAACTAAAAGACAGTCCTATAGTAGAAGTAGACCAGCCGGTCCAGACTCGTGACTTGACTTGGACCACTGATGACTCAGACTTGGACTCAGATTTGTGCATCGACTTCAACTTGGAAGTTGAAGATGAGGCTAACGGTTTTTTTCCACAGGCTGTGATAACTTGGCCTAAGATATTGATAAAACCTGCTCACCGACACCACGCTGTGTCCACTACACTTCCATCACGGTTTACACTCTGCCTTCCTATAAATGACTGTTTTGTATCAAATCGCGGAGCAATTTAGTGATGCAATACACCATCAGACAGTTTGGAATCTAACATGTTGAAAGCTGTGTATTGTAGACCTTGATGACTCAGACCTGATTATTCTTTGGTGTCTGAGACCTGACTTGGACTCAAACGTTGGGGTCTCGAGGTTTAGTGACATGACTGCAACACTGAGATCAGTGAGTGATATTAATGCTACTGTGACCATGAGAGTATTGCGCCTCTCATGTCTGCTCCTCGTCTACACAGAAGTCAACACCTGACGCATTGTGGATTGAGATGTGGACAGCCGAGGAAGAACAACAGCTCTCTCACCTAAAACTGTGCCACTCTATTTTGAAATACTTCCTAGTTTTACCAAGTGAATGTTTAAAAAAACAATCAGTGTGTTGATCTCTTTAGTTTCTGTCTGAGCTGTTTTTTTCCACTGTAGGTGAGACTCTATAGTCTAGTGGGTTTTCAGAGTGGTTTACTTGATTTATTATGCAACATATTGAGGCTCTAATCTGCAGGAGACATATTTATATCTACTAGACTAGAGTAAAGGGTTCAGATACACTTATAAAATAGCATGCCTTTTTGCAGTTACAGTAGTCTGTGCATCCGTCTGAAACACACTAAGCCTTAAGTGTGGATATTAAGACAGTCCTGCAGAAGTTGCAAGTAAATGGTAAACTATAGGGGGAATTACATGTATCTCAAATGGATCAGCCTGCTGCAAGCTAACTTCATTCAGTGTGTGAAATGCTGTATCAAGCCTCTGTAACATGCAGAGTATGTGTGTACTGCATGGAGGTTAAGTTTCAGTTAACAGTGGAATAGATTATCCTTTTTTTTCAGTTGCTGTTATATGTGTTAAATGTCAGGGCCGCTGCTATTTGTTTGTTTTTAGTCTCCAAAAATCCCATGAAAAACCAAAACCAGTTTTTTTCCTAACTTTGGTGAAATGACTGTGTAAGACACCTTAAATATTACACAGTCACCCAATGAGTGTTATCACCTGACCTGCTGTTCATAGCTGTACTAAATAGCATTTTGACACACTGTTTTCATTTTACAGCCTGTCACCTAGTAGCCTCATTTCTGGACACAGAAGGCAGCTGCATCCAGCTAAATAGTCCTGATGTGTGCATGGGACACTACCTGCCTAGCACCAGATGACAGAGACTAAATTAGTGGCTAGAATGGAGCATTTAGTTGTTGACTAATACACAAACTTGTGACTCCAAGGCAGGTGCAGTTTATGTAGGACTGACTCAAACAACAGAGGAAACAGACATCAGACTTTTGCTACTTGTGAGTTTTTCATGGGATTTTTTGACAACAAGGAAAATAAAGACCATCACTGTCCTTTAAGACATTATTTGTATGCAGCATGAGTGCAGCTCCCCTTTACATATTGGGCAAAATTTAGAAGAAGTTTGCAATTACTAGCAGGTCGTTTAATATATAATTTTTGTCTTGTCATGACAATTAACAAGTGAGGTAATTTATCACTCGCAGAACCTCTAAACACTCGTGTTTTGCTACTTGTTCAGACAGCTAAAACAAACCATCAGAAAGTGTTAGAAAATATACTGAAGTTTGACTTAAAGTTTGGTGAAAGGAAAACACTGCTACACCAGATTGTTTCTTTTTTTGCATCTCCTTTCCACTGTGTGGTTTCATGTCCTTAAGCTGTGCTGAAATGCTATCTGTTTAACAACTACTGAAAATGTACATATGAAAATATGATAAAACAACCACATGAGTTTGTCTGAAGAAACAAACAAGTACTGTATGTATTGAACTTGTTAAACCCAAGGAACTGGAACATGTTTCAGTGAGTGTTAAGGTGTTTATTCTTTGTTTTTGCCATTGACGTTCTGTGGATTGATCTGCAGAGTATTTGGGAGATTAACAAACACTGAGGTCTTAGAGCATTCAGCTTCTTAGTTCCCCATTTAGGAAATAAATGTTGTGAAAGTATGTGTGAGATTAAGATGCATCATAAATCGCCACAGTCATAATCTGTCACAGCTACACTGTCATCCAGTGCAAACACTGGTATGAAAAGTCAATCGTTGACTGGTCATAAAGACTGGTCCCTTTCATAGTGATTCACTGTGTCACACCATGCTTTGCTGTGGTGAGATCAGCTACACAGTCTGGTACTCACTACTGCTTCCTGTAGTTCTACACTTTAGGAAACAAACCAGGTAAAACCTGTGTCCAACAAGCTATCACAAGTTATATTATCTCCCCTTATGTACCAAGCACCTTATCAGATCTGCATATAGACTTTCCCCCATTGTCTGATAACAAATTTTCAAATACAAATGCCTGCTTTAAACAGAAAAATGTTTACTGAAATGTACTGGTGTAGTTTATCAGCATGACCAGTTTGAAAGATTTCTGAGATCTGAAAACAACTCTCTAATTACTTTGAAACTGCACTGTGCCATGGATGGCTGGTGATGACACCTGTGTCCACAGAGCTCCCTGCACAGACATCTTCCTCCATAGTTTCTCTCCCTGCCTCAGGTTCACTTGTTTGTTAAATGTCTATAAAACAAACTGTGACAAGAGCATCAGATATGTTTTAGGCTATTCATTAGAATCATTCATCAGAATGAATAGTCTAATGTTAACACAGACCACTATGTGTGATGTACACTGACTGGCCACTTTAGGTACACCTGTACAATTGTATGCACTTCAGTGCCACACATAACATTGGTGGTGTTGTACTGGACTACATGATATTTAGAAGTGTTCCTACTAATTTGATCCCTGAGGTATGTAGTTGGGGAGGACAACAATACAGACCCTCACAAAAAGAAGAGGGCTCTGGGCTGTTGATGGTTGTGAACATTTAAAACACCAAAAATCACAATCAGGGTTTGGGAAAACTCTCGGCTCCACTACAGAGAATGTGAAGGCACACGTCACGCTGTGCTGAATGCTGGGAGAGACATATTTACCTGCATACAGGAGAAGGTAACATTCAAGAAATGATGAGTTTCATGATGCATGTTGTTTGTTTCTAACAAAGAAATGCACCACCAGATTTTTGAAGGAGTTTGAGGACTTTGTATACAGGTCATTAATGTTACATGTGGCCACAGAAGTGGAATGACATTTTAAAAATGTTTATTACAGTAAACTTAGTGTGTTACTGCTATGACTTTAGTAGAAGCTGTTACAGTGAGGAACAGAAGTATTTGAACGCCCTGCGATTTTGCAAGTTCTCCCACTTAGAAATCATGGAGGGGTCTGAAATTCACATTGTAGGTGCATTCCCACTCTGAGAGACAGAATTAAAAGAAAATTTTCAGGAAATCACATTGTATGATTTTTAAAGAATTTATTTGTCTTGCACTGCTGAACATAAGTATTTGAACACCTGAGAAACAGCAAGAATTCTGGCTCTCAAAGACCTGTTACTGTGCCTTGAAAAAGTCCACCTCTACTCCACTCATTAATCTAAATTAGTAGCACCTGTCTGAGCTCTTTAAAGACACCTGTCCACCCCACAGTCAGTCAGACGCCAACTACTACCATGGGCAAGACCAAAGAGCTGTCAAAAGACACCAGAGACAAAATTGTGGACCTCCACAAGGCTGGAAAGGGCTACAGGGCAATTGCCAAGCAGCTTGGTGAAAACAGATCAACTGTTGGAGCAATTGTTAGAAAATGGAAGAGGCTAAAGACGACTGTCAGTCTCCCTCATACTGGGGCGCCATGCAAGATCTCACCTCATGGGGTATCACTGATGATAAGAAAGGTGAGGAATCCGCCCAGAACTACAAGGGAGGAGCTGGTCAATGACATGAAGAGAGCTGAGACCACAGTTTCAAAGGTCACTGTCGGTAGAACACTACGCCGTCATGGTTTCAAATCATGCATTGCACGGAAGGTTCCCCTGCTCAAGTCATCACATGTCCAGGCCCGTCTGAAGTTTGCCAAAGACCATCTGGATGATCCAGAGGAGGCATGGGAGAAAGTCATGTGGTCAGATGAGACCAAAGTAGAACTTTTTGGTCTAAACTTCACTCGTCGTGTTTGGAGGAAAAAGAAGGATGAGTTGCATCCCAAGAACACCATCCCTACTGTGAAGCATGGGGGTGGTAACATCATGCTTTGGGGGTGCTTTTCTGCGAAGGGGACAGGACGTCTGCACTGTATTAAGGAGAGGATGAATGGGGCCATTTATTGTGAGATTTTGAGCAACAACCTCCTTCCCTCAATCAGAGCATTGAAGATGGGTCGTGGCTCATGACAACGACTCAAAGCACACAGCCAGGATAACCAAGGAGTGGCTCTGTAAGAAGCATATCAAGGTTCTGGAATGGCCTAGCGTCTCCAGACCTTCTCCAGACCTCAGTCCAATAGAACATCTTTGGAGGGAGCTTAAACTCCGTGGTGCTCAGCGACAGCCCCGAAACCTGACAGATCTAGAGGAGATCTGTGTGGAGGAGTGGGCCAAAATCCCTGGTGCAGTGTGTGCAAACCTGGTCAAGAACTACAGGAAACGTTTGACCTCTGTAATTGCAAACAAAGGTTTCTGTACCAAATATTAACACTGATTTTCTCAGGTGTTCAAATACTTATGTTCAGCAGTGCAAGACAAATAAATTCTTTAAAAATCATACAATGTGATTTCCTGAAAATTTTCTTTTAATTCTGTCTCTCAGAGTGGGAATGCACCTACAATGTGAATTTCAGACCCCTCCATGATTTCTAAGTGGGAGAACTTGCAAAATCGCAGGGTGTTCAAATACTTCTGTTCCTCACTGTACATTTAAGAAGTTAGCACAGCTTGAGTTCTGCACTAAATTGAATGTTAGGTTTGTTCTCATGAAAGCAAGATTAACCTGCAGCATTTTTGAAGGAGTTTGGTCACTTTCTATCAGCAAAGAAACAAAGAGCTTATAAGGGAACAACAAGCATTGTCCTTGGTGCTGAAGAAAAGAATCCTGAACTTTTGACTCAGGAACCTGAAACACCAACCTCAGTGTCAACCCCTGTCCGTCTTCCACCAACAACAGTCTGCAGAAACATGCTTCAGCTTCACATTTGTGGTTTTCACTACACATTTATTTTAGTTACAATTTGTATGAATTAAGATTTTACACACATAATGTCCTTAAGAAATATCTGATGCTTCATTAACAGCATTTTGATAATTGTTTACATTTTTATTCGCAGGAGACAGTCTGTTATTCTCATCACAAAATACACCCAAAGTGAGTGTCCCAGAGCTTATTTAGTCATCGAGTTGTCTCTGCCAGGCTTGCTCCCTCCCAAGAACCCCAGAATGAACTCCCGGTTGGTATTGCATCTACTGCACAACAGAGCTCTGACAACAATCCCATCTATGTATGAAAAAATAAAACTTTGCAGGGGTGGATAAATTCCTGGCTGGGAGGCCTCCCACATCCGGAAAATCTAATAAACACACAAAATGCTAAACTAACAGCTAACCCCAACCAAATAGGTCATCTAATACTTATTATCCACTCAGTACTAAAGGAGCGTTAAAGCCCATTAGACAGAGTTCTTCAAAATACCTACTAGAGAGTGTTAAAACCCTGTAGGCAAAATAGGTCTTCTAAAATAGGCCTAATACCTGTTAGACGCTCAGCACTAAAGGAGCGTTAAAGCCCATTAGACAGAGTTCTTCAAAATACCTACTAGAGAGTGTTAAAACCCAGTCGGCAAAATAGATCACCTAAAATAGACCTAATACTTATTATCCACTCAGTACTAAAGGAGCGTTAAAGCCCATTAAGCCAGAGTTCTTCAAAATACCTACTAGAGAGTGTTAAAACCCTGTAGGCAAAATAGGTCATCTAAAATAGACCTAATACCTGTTATTAAACCACCTCAGGTACGGTAAAACCCAACAAAAAAGTAACCCCCTACCTTAAACCACCCGCTGTCACCACCTGGGCCCTAAACTTAACCATATTGGAATTAATGCCCAATCCTAACCCTCACACTCAAACCCCCCTAAGCCCAACCCATATCGCTACCCTGACCCTAACCATTCCATATCTCAGGCCCTAAACGTAACCTCAAACCTTAAACCGCACATTCACAGTACCCTGGCCCTAAACCGAACCATCGGAGACTTAATGCCTAATCTTAACCCTCACACCACAACCCCCCTGAAACCCAATCCATATCCTTAGCCTGAACCTAACCATTCCACATCTCTGGCCCTAAACATAACCTCAAACCACGCATCTGCGGTACCCTGGCCCTAAATTTAACCATCAAAGACTTAATGCCTAATCTTAACACTCTTACCCCAACCCATACCCCTACCCTGACCCTAACCACTCGAGGGGCTATGTCTGGCCATAGCTTGGACACTGAGCTGATAGCTGTTAGCCTACAGGCCTATTATCTGATGAGGGAGTTTACAAACTGTTGTTTACATCCCATCATTGGGGTGGCTGTGCCTCAGGAGGTAGAGTGGGTCATTTCCTAACCGGAGGATTAGCGGTTCGAAGAGAGCCTTCAGGGTCAGGGACAGAGACCTGCTGAGGACCGTGCAGAGGGAACTGAAAGTGAGACTGAGGGAGCGTGAGGACGCAGAGGAAACTGGAAAACCAGCTCCAGTAGAAAAATGTGAGGGATGTGTGGTCTTGGATGAAGGAGATCACTGGCTGTAAGGCCAAAGGGGACCAGACTGAGGCGAACAGAGCAGTTCTTCTGCATGTTCAGTTCAGGACTCCCACTCCCCCTTTCCACAGACACAGTTTTGTTGTTATTAATATTCTTATGCTTATGCTTTCAGTCTGGGTTTACACTTTGTAAGTAGTGATGTT